TTCCGCCGTGTCTGGTTGCATTCCTTGGTCCTCACGTGGGGTACCACTTTGCCAGGGCTGACTAGCAAACCCTGAGCTATAGATGAATGATTACTCTGACACAGGATTGCTGTGAAAGAGAGGGCTAAGGGACTGCCTGGCTAAAGGAACCAGACAGCCTTGATCACCTGCCTCTTCAGGCTTTTATTGTAAAAGCAGTTTGAGATAAAGTTTATCTTTTAGATACAATCAGTGGGGTAAGTAATCTTGGGAGGACACATGTGTCTACAATGTCCTTTAAGCAAGGACACCTAAAGATTAAGCATAAAGATTACAGTAAACACCCAAGGTACACACACTTGTTTGGAAAGGTCAAGGAACAATTAGGGGTAGCCACCTTCGGCCAAACTCCCCTAAGTAGGAATTCTGATAAACGGGGTAGGCTGCCTTCATCCCACTCCTTTTTTCAGAATTTTTCTCCTTACAAACTTTCCAAGCCTGTGCTCCCCCACAGAGCCAAACTGATGACAATTGCTGGGAATCAAGATCTCAAACACTCCTGAGAATGAGATTAGACACTCTCACCTTTCCAGTTAGGAATTTATGATCAGATCACTGTGAGGTTACTTTCCCTGAATGAACTTCTCAGTGTTATTACAGACCCCTTTTTCATCCATAACTGTAAACTCAGAAGTGATATTGCTGGATCATATAGTAATTTTATGTTTAATTGTCTGAGGAACCATCATACTGTTTTCCATAGTGGCTGAATCATTTTATATTTCCACCAACAATGCCCGAGGGTTCCAATTTCTGCACATCCTCACCAATATTTGTTATTTTATGTTATTTTTAAAATATTTTTATTGATTTCAGGGAGGAAGAAGGAAGGGGAGAGAGATAGAAACATCAATGAAAAGAGAGAATCATTGATTGGCTTCCTCTTGCATGCCCCACACCAGGTATCAGCCTGAAACCCAGACATATGCCCTGAGAATCGGACAGTGACCTCCTGGCTCATAGGTCAATGCTCAACCACTGAGTCACACCAACCAAGCCAATTGTAGTTCTTTATATGTCCTGGATATTAGTCCTTTGTCAGATATTTGATTTGCAAATATTATCTTCCATTCTGTAAGTTGTGTATTCACTCTTGATAATGTCCTTTGATGTACAAGAGCCTTTAATTTGATGCTCAATTTATCTATTTTAATTTTGTTGCCTGTGCTTTTTTTGTTATTGTATCTGTCCAGGTAAGAGATATACAAACCTGCAGAGAAATTTTCATAAGAGTTTATTTGAGCCAAACTGACCACATACGCAGGAAGCAAGATCTCAAAAGCTCCTGAGAATAACACTTCACATCTTCTTTTATGCATTTGAAATTACGGCGGGGATGTAAGGAAGATTGGAGAAAGCAAGGCTGGGATTGGATTACAGGATGGTTAACAAGATTATGTGCCCTTGAGGGAACACACTCCTTCTTCAAAGGATATTACTTCTGTCATTTCTTTTTTTAAAATATATTTTTATTGATTTCAGAGAAGGGAGAGGGAGAGATAGAAACATCAATGATGAGAGATAATCATTGATTGGCTGTCTCCTGCATGCTCCATACTGGGGATCGAGTCTGCAACCCAGGCATGAGCCCATGACTGGAATCGAACCCGGGACCCTTCAGTCCACAGGACGATGCTCTATCCTCTGAGCCAAACCTGCTAGGGCTACTTCTGTCATTTCAAAGGTGTGTTAACCAAAATGCGTAAGAACAAATAACAGGGCTAGTTTAAAACCTTTCATAAGGCAGTTATAGGCCTGGAGCAAGACTACCCACAATGACCCGCCCCGTTGGGAATTTGTGATCAGATCACCTGTGAGGTTACCTTCCATAGAACCCCCCTTTTTTATCCATACCTTGGACTCAAATGTGCCAACTTTGTATATTTTCTTTCCGTAGGATAGCAATATCCATTTTCTAGGTCAAATATTTAGCAAATTCAAATATTTGGCTCAAAAGTTGTGTGACAGGAAAGTTACCTAACCTCTCTGAGCTTTAGTTTCTTCTTGTGTTATTTGCAGATTAAGTGAGATAATGTATGTGAGGCAGTGTCTGGTCAATGTAAACATTCAGTAAGTAGTATTTCTATTTGTTGTTTTTTAAATATATTTTTATTGATTACAGAGAGGAAGTGAGAGGGAGAGACAGAAACACCATCGATTGGTTGCCTCCTGCATGGCGCCCCGACCAGGGCCAGGAGCCTGCAACCGTAGGTACCCTTGACCTGAATCGGTCCCAGGACCCTTCAGTCTGCAGGCCCATGCTCTATCCACTGGGCAAAACCGGCCAAGGCATGAATGTGCTTTCTTAAATCAGAATAGAACAATCAGTTAACAGAGCATGATTAATATTTCTTGTAACTACTGCTAGTCCCCATTATTCTATTTCTGCCCCTAACACTTTGTTCTTGATGCTTACTACTTAAGCAGGAATCAGCCTTCCTCAGCGCCCACAACGGAGTAAGAAAGGGAGCCTCCCAGATGGAGCAAACCCGGTGTGATGAGACCGGGCTCCAGCGTGGCTCCCTCAAGAGTAGAGGGTGTGAAGGGAGCAGGGAGCCATTCAGGGACCGCGGAGAGGGACGGGTTGTGGGAGCGCCCAGCGCGCTCACAGCGGGTCTGAAGCGGGACCCAGGCCTGGAGGGCCCAGAACGCCGGGACCGAGTGGGGCGCCTCCTGTGGGCGCCAGGCGCGCAGGAGCGGTGCTCGGATGCAGCCAGGACCTCCCAGAACGGGCCCCAGCT